GCTGGAAGACGCCCTGCCCCCTCTCGCCTCCTGCAACTTCTGGTGCCGCTTTTCGGTCGCGCTGACGTCGCTTTACGCCTTCAGCGACCCGAACTGCACCTTGGGGTACCTCAGGCCCGCTGGGGGCCGCGGGGCGCGTGAGAATACTGATGCTGGGCGAGATGTCAATCTGATGCCCGGGCCAATCTGCGGCCCCCATGGCAGATTCTGGACTGGGAGAACTCGGCCCAGGAATGGGCGGATGCTGTCTGGCACAATCGCGCAATCAATCATGTGGCTCCTGCCCGACGCGCGTGACACATCGACGCCGTCGGGCGTGGCGACGTCGCCGCCGAGGGCCCCCGACCAGCCTGGTTTCGTCATCTCCTGCGGGGTGGCGTTGAAGTCGCCCACCAGAAGCCAAGGTGCACCCAGCGTCTTGACGACGCGGAGAATCGCGCTCAGCTTCGCGGAGATGGTGCCGACCAGACCTATGGGGCAGTCCAGGTAGCGCACGATGAAAACAGAAATGGCGCCGTGGAATCGCCGCTGGGCCACAGGGATGTCGCGGAGCGCGTCGTGGTCGACGCCTTTGTTCTTGGGGCCCTCCAGGTGGGCGCTGGTGGCGTGGGCGGCCCGCCTGAACCAGCGCGCACCTCCGTGCGTGCCCTTGTCCGAGCGCCCCGTCACCGTAGCAGCGGTCCTCGCTCCTTCGCATCTCTCCAACCCAAACTGCGCAATCGCCTGTCCTCCCTCTGGCAATTCACTTGCGGCAAGTGGTGCCCTGCCAAACCCATGAGGTCGTAGGGCAATGACTCTATGTACTTATTGACCCTGGGGCCGTAGCTGGTCACGCTGCCGAACAATATGGAGACGTGATTGCGCTGTCTACATGGTGCTCGAGCTCGTGGATGTCCGTCTTCTGGGTTGCCCTCCTGCCGTCTTCGACTGCGCTGCTGCCGCCGCCGTCGCCTTCGGAGGTGCCCCCGCCGAAGGTGCTGACGCAGATGCCGAAACTGGCGTTGGCGTGGCTTCGGCAGAGTCCGCTGCCGCAGCCCTGGCCTTGATGGTCGCCGTGCGCTGGATGTGCGCGTCGACGTCCTTCGGGTCGCTGAAGTCGATGGCGCCGCCCACTGGTTTTGCCTCTCCTCCGCCGTCTGCTGGCTGCGGGTCTGAAGCTCCAGCTGCGACTCCTGCGTCTCTGTCGGCCCTGCGCCCCTTCGCGGAGGTAGCCCTCTCGCGGAGCTCCCTGAGCGTGCTGGCCGATGCCAGCCGCGTTCTTGTATGCCTGCTGGGCCTGCTGCGCGTGCGCCAGCGCCTCCTCGGAGGTCTTCTTCTGCTCGGGGGTGGGGAGCTCCACGTCCTCGGCGGTGAGCTCGTGAAGCTGGAAGACGGGGTCCCCTGCGGGCTTGTCGTCGTCATGCGTGACGCTCCCGCTCGCAGCCCCCTGCGCCGCCGAAGTGAGGCCCGTGAGGCGGTTGACCTCACCCTGGGCCTCGGCGCATGCGCGGACGGTCTTTTCCAGCTTCGCCAGGAGCTCCTTGCCATGGTTGGCGTTGGCCACAGGCTGGCTCTTGAGCTTCTCCTGGTACGTGTGGAGGCGTCGTAGAATGGCGGCGTGCTGCTCCAGGAGGATCTCGGGGGCCTTGGGAGGCGAGGGATTCCCTGCCTCGGCCAACTCTGGACAAACCAGCTCCATGGCCCTGAGGGCGTCCTCCCGTTCAGACTCCACTGCGTGCTTGTACTTCGTGAGAAGCTGCTCGGGGAGGGAGCCCACGCTGGTGGAGTCCCCGTCCTCGATGGCGAAAGAACCCTTGGTAGCTTGCTTGGGCCACGGCACTCCGCAAGTTCGGCATGACTCCCATCCTGACGTTCCTGTACGATTGCGATACACCAGAGTGCCAGGACAATATCGGCACACAAAATACGCCTGCCGACGCTTGCCGTGCGTCAATGGGGGCCTGTGGGCATCTCTGCTCTTGGCCCTCGCACTGCCGCTGCGACCCATCAAAATCACAAAACTGTCAGCACTCGACTTTCGCCGCCTGAGAGGCGCCCCTCGAGCCGCGGGAGCGCGTAACGGGCACTCTGGTGTCCACCCACACTCGGTACGCGCGAGTGCCGTGCGGGCGGGGCGCCTGTTCCCCAAATGCCCCTTCGTGCCGCAACTGGCTTGAGGAGGCGGAGGAGGAGGAGGAGGAGGAGGAGGAGGAGGAGGAGGAGGACGAGGAGGAGGAGGAGGAGGAGGAGGAGGAGGAGGAGGAGGAGGAGAAGAGGGGGAGGAGGAGGAGGAGGAGGAGGAGGAGGAGGAGGAGGAGGAGGAGGAAGAGGAGAAGGAGGAGGAGGAGGAGGAGGAGAAGGAGGAGGAGGAGGAGGAGGAGGAGGAGGAGGAGGAGGGAGCGTGCTCTGTGATCTCGCGCCCGCCACAACCTGCGCCGCTCTCGCGGGGGCAGCGTGCGGTTGATGGCCGCACGCTGCCGCTGGGCCGTTGTCGTTGTCCTCGTCGTCGTCGGTGGCGGCGTCGTCGTCGCAACCGCCGGCGTTGGCGTCGGCGTCGGCATCGGAGTCGGCGCCGGCATCGGCGTCGGCGTCATCGTCGTGGTGGTCGTGCGTGACGGGTGCCGCGCTCATGCTACTCTTCTGCTTCCGCTGGTCGTGCGTGACGGGTGCCGCGCTCATGCTACTCTTCTGCTTCCGCCTGCCTCCCTTCTCCCTTCGGCGGCTGGCGTCTGACGACTGCCTGATGTGACAACCCCTGGGTTGGGCGTGTGGCGTGAAAAGCCTGGTGCGTGAGATTGAACTTGCGGTGAAAGTATGACCCTCTATATTTATAGTAAGAGTAACGGCTGGCACCACATGACTTCGGGGAATTGCCATCAACTCGCACACCTGACATCTGCAGAAACAGAGAATTCGCCAACACAACAGGCCAACGGCGTCTTAGACCCTGAAGTGGATCAACTCAGGTTGTGTGATTGAGTTGGTGCGTGCGCTCAGATGCTGCGCGTCTACTTCTACACACATCTGCACACACGTATAATTCGCGCGTGCGAGTGAGACCCTCGAGGGTCTGCGGACCTGAGTGGCGCCCAAGAGTGGGTGACAGCCCCACAAGAGCGCCCAAGAACGCGGGTCAAACGGTGACAAACCTCATGCTTACCCCAGGATGGCCCAAGAAGCTCAACGCCAGCACAACGGACACCAATCCATCTCCAAATTACCGAATAACCTTTCCTCGGAGTCTAGCAAGATGGCAAACTTCGCAAACACAACACGTACGTTGCTTGAAGCTGTTTAGGCCTCTCACCTCTGTGGCCGCAACGGACCTCGGGCCCCGAGGTGACCCCAGCAGAGCCCAAAGAGGGCCTCAAGACCTCCCCAGAAGGCATTGACGGGGCTCCATGAGAGCAGCAAGGCGGCCCAAGAGCGGTCCAAGAGCGCGGGCCAATCGGATGATCCGGAGATGACCCCAATATGAGCCAAGAAGATGCGCTGGTGGCTCCCAAACGGTCCAGTATAGCCGAGCAAGCGCCCCTCGGAGGCCCCCAGGCGCCTCAATCGGCCTCTGGGGCTTCGCGATGGCGCCCCGAGAAGGCCCCAATACACACCAAAGGGGACCCTAGGACACCGCAAGACGGCCCAAAGAGGGTACGAAAAAAGCCCCAAGAGGCCCCCAGCGCTGCCCAAGAGCGCGGTTAAGGTTAGTCCCGCATGCCCCGATCTGGCTTCATATTGCCCACGCTAGCCCAAGGCAGCCTAACTGGCTGCAAATGTGACCCAAGATTGCCGACTCACCTTCCATCGGAGGCTAAAGAGAAGCCATAATCAGCCGAGCATCATGCGTGTCTTCGATCATGGCGTTCTCGCCCTTGCGGGTTTCAATAGGCGCAAGCCCCGACGTGGCCCCTAGCGAGCTCTCTGATAAGTCCCATGAGCGCCTCGAGATGGCCCCGAGATCCCACAAGAGGGCCCCAAGAGAGTCCTCGGAGGCCCCAAGGGGGCGCCAAAGCGACCCAAGAGCGGGGACCAACAGGTGGCATGGGTACGAGCCACCCCCAAGACGCCTCGACGTGACCCAACTTCTTCCAAGGCAACCTAATGGACTCCCAGGACGTCCCTCAGAGCCGTCAGAGGTCCCCCAGGACGATCTCACAGCCTACGAAGGGGTTTGACAACGTTGCCTGCTCGTATCTTCGGGATCCGATGGTGGAACCTGAACGGGAACGTGCTCAGTTGTTTGGTGCTCCCCCATGCGGGAAACTGCCACCAACCAACAGCTTCCCAATGCCTACGAGTACATACGCTAAATGCAAAACTGATGCAATATGAGCCATAATGTTTCGCGAAGCTGTTGTTTAAAGAGAGACATGAAATGCGTCGACACATAAAACAGTAGATCATGCGTTGAATTCAGGTTGTCTGATATAGCCCACCGTTAGTTTTGTAAGTCTCATTTCTTCGCGTCCTATATCGTTGCCATTGGTGACCAGCCGATGCCGTTGAATGGAACCTCTGCGACATGAACAGCACGCTTCTATTAGTCAGCGATCTAACTGGCAATGTTGCATGGAATTGTGCTGAACGTTAGTGACCGCCACATGGCACCCATAACTTGACGCAGTACAGGGGCACACATCTCGTACGTGCAATAATCTACGGGGAAAATTGTACGCGGGGGGGGGGTCGGTGTCGAGATGGATGTGTCATGCCATACACAAAGAGAGAAGATGACGACAGAAAGAGAGAGAGAGAGAGAGAGAGAGAGAGAAAAATAGAGAGAGAGAGAGAGAGAGAGAACGCGAGAACTTATGGGTGGCCGAGAGAGAGAGAGAGAGAGAGAGAGAGAGAGAGAGAGAGAGAGAAAAAGAGAGAGAGAGAGAGAGAGAGAGAGAGCGAAAGACAGCAGAGAACGAGAGAGAGAGAGAGAGAGAGAGAGAGAGATAACGAGACGCATGCGACAACTGTCCTTCCTAGCCGTCTCGCAACTGCAATATGCCGCGCCATTTATCTTTCCGGGTGGCCTGATCTTCGGCAGCGGACGTCTCTGTCTCCAGCCTTGCAAAGTCAGAGAGGATGACGTCGAGCAGGCCGAGGACACCTCAACGCACACAGGCCAGCGTGGGGAAAAGGCTATGGTAATATGGCTGGTGTAGAGAGGTCAGGTCCGCCGACCACTCTGGGGTTTCTGTGGGGGAACCACCTCCCCTTGTAAGCACCTCCCGCTGGGCCGACAATTGTAGATTTGAGGATGGGGGAACAAACTCACTCGGGTGAGTCTTCGACCATCTTCTGACCCCCCGGGTCAATCCACACCCGGGTCAGTCAGGCCTTGCAGACTCCTGCAAGATCCTGCACCCAAACCAGGGTCAATGCGAAAGACCCTGTAAGATCCTGCAGGATCCTGCACCCAAACCCAGGTCAATGCGACCCAGGCTCTGCAGGATCCTGCAAGATCGCGCGATCTGGCTGACCCCGGTTTGCATTGACCCCCGTCTCCTGAGCCCCGAAGTCTGGCTCATCGGGAGCGTCTGGCGAAATCGAAACGACCTCGTGCGGGTCGGCGGGTCTGGATTCACATGGGAAGGGCTGCCCGCTTAGGGCACACATCCGCCGACTCTGTCAGCATGTGCGAGAGGCTTTTCCATCATCATTTGAAGCTCTTTCCCTCTTTCCCTGTGGCTGGGCACCTCTGGCCCCCCCTTGTCGGGCGCGCCAACCCAGGGGAAACCGATCAACGTTGCAACCGAGTCGAAAGTAATGGTCCCCTCCCCTCTGATCTCTTCTCCGCCAGGGGGGGGGAACCAGGGAAGCGGGGGGGGGGGGGCCTCGGCGGCTCCAGGGAGGGCAGGCGGGGCACCCGCGGATGGAGCTCCGTCCCCTGCACAAGGCGAGCCCCTCCCCCCGCCCGACTTGCCGTCCCCCGTAAGCCCACAACTGGCAATTAGCGTGGCTCGGAGTCCAAGCTTCCAGCTTGCCTGGTCCCGATGGCCCATGCTGGAGCCGGCTTGAGGGTCTTTTGGGCTGTAGATTTGTAATCGTACAGCTATGTGTGCTCCTGCGCGTCCCTTCAAACCTTGCAAACTTCAACCTTGCGCTCAGTCGCAGCCATACTGGCTCGGGCTGGCCCACCCCTGTTTCCCTCCCGACTCCAAACGTCTTAAACTGCCAACCAAGATTCATAATCTCCCGTCTCTACCTCCCGCTTTCTGTGCTGTGCGACACGCTTTGCGCGTGCGAGACGTTCGTGCGGCGTGCGCTGATCAAAAGGAGGCCACTGCCAATGTCTTATAGTGGTTGCGGAGGAGTTCGACATCACAGTGATCGATGCCACATCGGAGACGACGGCGGAGATGGAGACCGAGGACGCAGAGGGAAGGACCGGGACCCTCCACCCTCATGTGACAGGGCCAACCCAGAAATGAACTACACAACTTGGAAAAAAAGCTCAAACTGCAGACCAGCACTACGGACATCACAAGAGGAAGTTACGTGCGAACCTGTCATGACGCTTGACAAGTGTCGCCACAGATGCCATCACGTACGTGGAGGTTGAGGACACTGTCGTCGATGAGTGGCTCGACAAGATCGTGGCGCTGCTCGACGAGGCGCTCGCGCCGTACCTCGAGCAGACCATGCCCAGGGCGTTCGAGAAGGCCGCGCGCACCACGGCTCGTGAGAAGAGCCAGTCGATGCTTGGAGGCCCGGATTCATGTCGGCAGCAGTGGCCAGGCTCGGCGAGCCGAAGCGTGAAGGAGTGGCACTGCCCGAGGCGGCTCGGGGCTACATCATGATGCGAAACGCGAGTCCCGGTGAGAAACGACACGACACGATCAAGACGTGGATCGGCGGCGGGCGAGGGGGGAAGCGAGAAGGGGTGGGCCTTCTCAGAAAGCTTGAAGCCCCCCAGCCTTCTGAGAAGTTTCCTAAGTCTTCCCCGATGACGCAGAGAACTTCTCAGAAGGCGCGAGGCTCGAGGGCTTCTGAGAAGTCATGCCGCCTTCTGAGAAGGCCTTCGCTTTCTCACTTCCCCCCCTGGCTCGCCGCCGAGATGACATGATCAAGACGTGGACCGCTGGAAACTTTGGGTAAAGTGTCGACAGATGTGGGTGGACGGCACCACTTCGGAGACGCCGAACACGAGGCCACTAGAGGCGACGGGAGCTTCCCCCCTTCGACGACAATAATGACGCAGACTAGGACATGATCTACATTATGGAGGACGTGCTCTGGAAGGTGCATGCAGAAGCCGACGTCACTACGGCGTTCGCGTCTTCTCAAACGGTGCGCGACTCACAACATCAGGAGAATAACAAACGGGGCTTCCACAAGGACGGCGGCAAGGGCAACCAAGACAAAAGCTCCCCGCCACCGCTGGTGGCACGCTTCGGACAAAACAACCGGTACAACAACGAAGATAACAACGGCAACAAAGTGCGGGTACACATCGACGCGATCAAACTGAGGACGAAATGTATACGTAAAGGCCAAACTGGACACTGGATCCGTAAAGTTCGAGAGCCTGCTCAGGGTGCAGGGGCTCCTGGCACCAGTAGCTGACTGTAAACGCGAGCAGGGAAACATTCGTACGAGCGGCAACCTGGAGACGTCGGATTCGTGGAGTGGGCTTACCTTAGATAACGAGGAGGCCTTTGTGGACATTGCGGCCCAATCGGGCCTGATTGTGATACGGGCGTTGAGGGGATTGCAGGGGGCACTACGCACGAGGAGACTCTTAATCAAGTGAAAAGACAAGCCAGCCCAGGCCCAAGGAGTGGGAGGACGAGAAAGCTGTACGAACTGCGTTAGTTCCCTTCGGACTACTCGGATCCCATGGCCTCTTGGAGCTCGCCATGGTCGAGGGAGACGTTCCGATGCTGCTGCCCATCAGAACGCTCGAACGTTCAGAGACTTGGTCGACCCAGACTCAATGGCATTGGTGCTGAGACGACTAGACTCGGAGATCCCCATGAGAGAAGTGAGCACTGGGCATGTGGCAACATCGCTCGTGTAGTTTCGCCATGCGGGTTGGACCGCACCAAGGCGGAATCGCGGTTTCACGACAAACCATTTTCTCATCAATAGCCATTTGAACATTGATCCAACGTCACCCTCAGCAAGGTACGCTACCATTGACTCTTTATGCCTGCGCGAAGTTCAGAGGTCTCTGAATCACGCCCGCACTCCAGTGCGTCAGGCATGGGTGCGAATCGCCTCGGGCATCGTGCTCTTGGCATCTGTGCGGCCGCTTGCGGGGCTGTTCTACTCCATCTGGCCGGGCATCCCTGTCGGCTGGGAGAGTAGCAGCGAGAAGACCGAGTGCGCGATCAGCGAAGAAACATGGGCGATGAACGCGATGTCAAACAACTCCGACGTCTGCATTTCGCTGCTAAACAGAGCCCGTGGAGAAGGACCACCGCGAGCCATGGTACTGTCCAGAGTGGCAGGTGGTGTACTGCAAATGTCAGGACGACTCGAAACGTGCCCAAAAACACTGCGTGACGGACCCGACCAAGACAGAGTACGGAGAGTCCTACCACAAGAGCAAGCACGACGAGTGCCCAACCATGAAGTGGGAGACTGCTGACCGATCGTGTGCACTGGAAGTGGATCCCGTGCGAGCTCCTCCAGCGGATGAACGCCCAGTTCGAGAACCTGTGCTGGCAGTGCAGCCCACCGCTGGAGAGTCTCGAGGGGCATGGGCGGAGCGATCTCGGCGATCCAGTGCGTCAGGTGCTGAGGACGCTGGGCCAGGGGGCCCGATGCCGAGGTGATCCTGGCCGAAGAGAGGCCGAGGACGATCAAGAAGCTACCGCCGTCGTGCTACCATAAGGAACGCATACTATGGAACGAAGGGGCTTTTCTGGCCAGGGCGGGCCTTGGCCACAAACAGGTTCCACGACGCAGGTCTAAGGACCGGCCCGAAAACCCGAGCCCCTCCTCAGCCTGAAGCGGTCCTAATTTCCGCGTCTTGGCTGTAGAGGGCGAGACCTTCGAGGAAGTGTTCGGCCGTGAAGATCACGAACGAGACACAACTGCAACAGACCAAAGCGCTGCAACACGGCTGGGTCTACGCGGTGGGCTCGGAATGGTGGAAACTAGAGGACTACGAGCTCCTGGGGCAGAGCGGCTCGCTTCCCAGCGACCTCAACGACAAGGTGCTCCTTGTGAACTGGAGAGGTCGGCGACAACTTCACCCTCATGGACGAGGAGAAGGACTTGCCGCGAAGCACATTGCAGGAGGTATGTACGGCGCAGGGGATCAAAGTGGCAGAAGTGTACTCGATGCCGCGCGTCTCAGACATGCTGGAGAAGCAGGCCAAATGAAGCGGTCTGGCCTACGACCTGAAGCTGGACTGGAATTTTGGTCGGGCGCAAGATCGAACAAACTGCACTGTCGAAGTACGTGAGCTCAACCCACATCTAGTGGTTGTGTATCACCACCCTGCGGACCGCTCTCCGCACTGATGGAATGAAACTATCCGCGACTTGATCCCAAGAAGGCGATTTCGCACACGAGCTCGGGTCTCATGCACCTGATGTGCACGATCAAGATGCCAACCGAGCGACATGCTCGAGGACGATATTTCTGTTCGAGCATCCGACCGTGGCTGGGAGTCTGAAGGGTCCAGAGGTTAATGCGCTCATGGCGCTCGAGGGAGTGCCGGTGGTCTACTCAGATCAATGCATGTTCGGACTCAAAGGCGACGAAGGAAAAGCCTGGAAGAAACCCACAACATTCATCACAAACGCGGCGTACATGGCCGAAGAACTCGAGACATGGTTGGTCGGGCGATCACGAACACAAGGTACTTATTAATGGGAAAGACCACTTCGCGGAGAAATATCCGCCAGAGCTGTGCAAAGCGATGCTGCGAGGACCACGCCGACAGCTACGCGAGGAAGGACGTGAGGAGCATCTCAACGAGAATTTCGTGGAGTTCGGACGGGTATATCTCGTTGCCGGAGAGGGCGGCGACGAGAAGGACGCTGAGGAAGAAAACGAAGTGGAAGCACCAGAAGACGCGCCACTGGACGAGAAGGAGCTCAGCGAGGGCCTTGAGCCAAACGAGTCAGAGAAGAAACTTATCGGGGAGCTGT